GCCTGACCAGAGCACGTATATCAAATATGCTCTGGCCTGACTGCGCGTATCTTGTGCTATATATATAGCGTGTAGCTAATATATAAATATAGAGTCACGTTTGCATGAAGTGCATTCCGTTCCGGAACATGCGCAGGATTTTGGATAGTTTCGTAGAGTTAGTCTCGTTTTGTATGAATATCATTATACTTAGTCGTAATCACGGTAATGTAAAGATTTTAACACTGAAGCAGATATAAATAGTGAGTACAGACGTAAACACGGGTTTAGATATGAACAGATCATGATCAGATATGAACGCGATCATCATCATGGATACGTTTATTACAATAAATATACGAAAACTGTACATGTGCGAGCAAGACGAAGAAGATTGTCCCGTTGACTCTAACTTAGCAGTCGTGGCAAGTTGCGCGCGCAGGGGGGGGGGTATAAAACAATAACAGTTCTATTACACTGCCACCACCACCACCACCATCACCATCAACAACAACAACAACAACAACAAATGTCTCGTTTTTCGTTACGATACAATATTAAGAAAGTCTCTCAATCTCAGTCACCTGATGATATTTTTTACGTCTTCTCAAAATTCGTGCTAGAAATAAAATGAAATCACAGATGGCAGCACACGCGATTTGATCGTCTGATACCGATGCTCACCACGGCAACAGCTATTATCTTGTGCACCGCCGTACAGTGGTCGGTGATAACAGAGTGAAACCCCACCATTCCGCGTAGTCTCGCTTCACACACACATTTTAAAAGTACTTTACGGTCTACTGGTTAGACCGTAGTGCAGTGGCCCGCGAATCTTCGTAACAGTAACACCCGACAACGAATGCCATCTAGACCCAACCCAAGTTACCCAACAGACGTAAGACTTGGTGGCTTCTGAGAAGGGGATAAATTACATACAATAACCCATCTCACGCTCGGGCGTTTACAAAAGGACAAGTGGAGATACTGAGACAGTGAGAAGTGCGCGTGCGCAGCGCGAGGACGTCGCCAACGACGTTGGTAGTGCGGGGTAAACGACGCGTGCGTCAGACTAGAGACGATGGCGCCATCTTACGGAGGTGAGCAGCATGATATAGACAGGTACCTTACGGCTCCGCAGCCGTCTACATATATAGTTTGGGATATAGACAGGATTGATGAATATTTCTCGTTCCAACATCAGTCTAATTATCTGGAGGTACTTAGTAAAAGACAGCGAGAGAACAGAGAAGAGGGAGGAAGAAAGAGGACACGGAGGAAGGAAGGAAGGAGGGAGGAAGAGAGACAGGGAAGGATGGGAGGGAGGCAAGAAGGAAGGAAGGAGGGAGGAAGTGAGAGAGGAAAGGAAAAATGAAGAGAGGGGAGAGAGGGAGGGACGAAGGGAGAGAGGGAAGGAGGGGAGGGAGGAAGGAAAGGAAGGAGGGAGGGAGAGAGAGAGCAGAAGAGGAAGGGAGGGAGGGATTGGGAAAGATAACGCCTCACGCTATTGGGAAGATACGCGTGACATGAGGTGGTGGTGTGTGTGGGGGGGGGGATATCCCATTCGAGTATACAGGCAAGACGAGTATTGAACAGAACTAAACGTGCGTGACTACAGTAAAAATGCAGCGCAGAGCAGCCGCGCAAACACCAAGCAAGACCAAGTATTACGACGACGCCAGGGGGCGCCACAAGCAGGCGTCATACACTCACCCGGATGTGACCTCAGTGTAACTAAAACACGAGCGGTTCACACACAAGACTCCCGTACACCATCTCAATAAGGCAACGTGGAAGAATATGCTAAAATGGTTCAGGGTCAATTAAAAAAATTAACAATCGTGTAACACCATTAGCTATATCTACCTGCGACCATGTTCCGATGTCGGCATCACGCGCGCCACCTGCTGGTAAACTTCTGAAACCTTCCCAGCAGATCCTTAAACTCCAACTTTTGTCGAACATTGACTGGTTTACTAATGGTTTAATTTCCAAATGGCCACGCCCACTGCAACCGGATTGGTTGCGATATCGACCGACACACATTACGAGCGTCTGCATGAGCATCGAAACGTTTTTTTTTAAACAAAGATGGCCGATTCCGAAATTGAAGGTCACTTTGCGGTCAAGTAGCATTCGGTTAAAGGAGACTCCGTTGCTATTTTGTGAGCATTCCGTTGCTATGCTAAGCTCTTAGAACGACGATGAATCTAACATAATTTTTTGTTCGCAGTGGGACGAATGATTGCGACATATGCACGAACACACGACAGTACCCCTCGTCACCTCTCTCCTTCTCTCTCTCTCTCTCTCTCTCTCTCTCTCTCTCTCTCTCTCTCTCTCTCATCTCTCTCTCTCTCTCTCTCTCTCTCTCTCTCTCTCTCTCTCTCTCTCTCTCTCTCTCTCTCGTCTCTCTCTCTCTCTCTCTCTCTCTCTCTCTCTCTCTCTCTCTCTCTCTGTCTCTCTCTGTCTCTCTCTCTCTCTCTCTTTCTCTCTACAACACGGTTATATTATACAAAACATCCCGGATTAGAATCTCTGCGTCACCGTACAATCGGAGCATGCGCGCGCGCGTGCGCAGAGACGTAAACATCGCCCACACCCACTGATCTCTCTCTATATATACCAATTGAATAGCTCTTAGTGGTCATTAACCGTGTAGCCACCGGCCGCAATGATAATACCACTCCTAATCCGCCATACGTCATATCAGGAGCACATGTGCGCATGCGCGAGCTCTTCCTCATAGATCAGTGCATTATATATAGTACCATGACGTCTTTCGAAACATTCCGGTCAACAGCCGGTCGCCAGAAATAAACGCAACAAGTACAGAGCCACGAGGCGGCAACCTACCCCAGCGCCACCTATAGGGATTTACGTCCACTATAATGGTAACCACGAGCCCTACCCTGTCCCATCGACCAAATATCTGTTCATGATTATCGGCTCAGCCGACGTTAACTGTAAGTAGACGTAACACGTCCCACGGAATAGACTTTAACTTTCACAAAAGCGTAATTTAATTGGCATTTTAACGCTGCTACATACAGCAGACGTAATTGATTAGAAAAGGGTAAATTAATGAGGTCAAAAATCTGGAAGACATGCGAATCGCTGGCCCAGCTACACTCGTCTCACTGCTACACTCCAAACACACATTCGCTCGTCTAAACTTCCGACACGAAACAAACGGGCCTTGTTGAATAAACAAATGCTCCCGTTTTACACCGAAGTAGATTCGATCTAAATCGATAAAATTCGTTCATTCGTTGAACATTTAAGTCACCCTAATACATCAACGTGGGATGATATTTTAGGTGCGGTTATCATAGTAAACCATGTGGCATTAACAAAAACAACAACTTTGTTCGTGAGGCTCTTAACATAACAGCAAACAGATTCGTCGCCGCCAAAAAAGTAACGACAACATGAATGCAGCGCAACAAAGCAAAACATAAGAACATATATATGTATGTATATCTATATCTATATCTATATGTATATCTATGTATGTAGGGAACATGAGCGGATAGTACTTCGTAGATTTGTGGCGATACGCACATGCTTGTATACAAATATTGCTTGCGATATTTAATCCTTAATGCATATCTTGTCATAATATATATATATATATACCAGAAGTAGATAATATGGAATTTCCCTATTATCTACTTCTGATATATACGTATATATATATATATGTATATATATATATATAAACATATATACATACAATTTACGCGCGAAGTAATACGTACATATATATGATGAATTTGCGTGATTTTAGAGCGACTTTGACTACGAGACGAAGCGCCTCGGTATGAAGCAGGAAGACCGTAAACTGAGCAGCGGCTTTAACGACTTAGAGGCTACCTCCGGCATCCAATTCCCAGACGAACGCTTGCTCTCCGAGTCGCCAGCTGGCGGCAAGGGACACTGGCCGCCGGGTTTCGACTTC